CGCTCTGTTAGTGGGTCGATGGCACCTGCCAAATTTCGTGGTTCCTCCCCTTTTCACTGATCGGGCATGTTGGAAAATTCATGAAAAACGACGATTTTTGACTCAATGATGGTCAAATCATACGATCGTTTTTCCAAAAAGAATATGCCATGAAGGAACAGAAGTTTCGCCTGTTATATGGGGTGAACTTTATGACTTGGTCGGCCGATTTTTGAAATCATTGATGGCACCATCAGATTACCAAACAAACAATGTTTTCGATTTTCGGACTAAAAATCGTTCGGAATTCGAACCATGTATGGCCTGCAATAGTCTTCTAGTTTAAAGCCAAACTCCAGGAATTGGGAAAAAAAATCTCCCCTTGCAGTGGCTCCTCTGCCCTGCAAGGCTTAAATGCTTATTACATCTAGAGGGAGCAGAAGAGGCTGAATTCCTTACCTTACCCCTGCTCCAGTCAGCTCCAGCACTCTCCTCTTCTCCCTCCAGTGCTTCAGGTTGTGAGCGGTCCATCTACATTCTCATGTGCAATGCAGAGATTTACAATGCAGAGATATTAACTCTGCATTGTATGTTGAGGAGGTAGAAGTGCAAACTTGGCTGGGAGCAGGATTTTCAGGATTGGGTGCATTGCTGGAGAGATCCTTCAGGGGCAAGGAGTAAGGTAAGTATTACTCCTAGTTTCTGTACTCCTAGGTTGAATGAGCAGCACGTTTTTGCATTGTAACAGGGGTAGCAAGTGGATAGTTTGTCTGATTTCTGGAGGTGGGCTGTAAAGTTATGTACACATTTACACATTATACCAAAATTCAAAGTCATGTTAGAGCTCGAAAAACAAGAATACATTCTGTTTAATAGAATAGATCCTATCAAAGGGGGGGGGACCAAAGTTGTGTGCCTACAAGCTCCAAGGATGACAATATGGTAATGTTTGAAATGTATTGAAAGTTATTGTAAATGTTTCATTATTATTATTTTTTTATAAATATTAAACATGTTATACTTACTGTATACTGCCATTTGTAAACGCTATAACTTTCATGTAAACCAATTAATTTACACATATTTGGAATACAGAATACATTTTGCCCTACATTTATGACGAAATTTAATTTTTAATTTTTTTTTACTGGGCATGTTTAATAGGAAAAAGTTAAAAATATTGGTTTTTTTCTCAAAATTGTCGGTATTTTTCTGTTTATAATGCAAAAAAAAAAAACGTAGAGGCAATCAAATATCACCGAAAGAAATCTCTATTTGTGGGGGAAAAAGGACATAAATTTAATATGGGTGCAGTGTTGCACGACAGCGCAATTGTCATTGAAGTAACGCAGCACTATATTGCAAAAAAAATGGCCTGGTCAGGAAGTGGGGTAAATCCGCTGGAGGGCAAGTGGTTAATCAACCACTTCCCTTTTGTCCCATGTACATAAATGGCCAGACGGGAGAAGTGCAGGAGCAGGTGGCAGTTTATGCCACTTCCCTGCCTCTGCACGCTCCCTAGGAGTGCACAGCACCGCGATCCGGACACAGTGGAACACCGATCGCTGTATGGGACCTCTGTGTGAGGTCCTGATCATGTGATCACTGATTGGCCAGTCAGTGACCACATGAAAAGTAGTAAGCAAAATGTCACTTCTGACATCATTGCTTAATACTTGTGAAATCTGTGAATGATCACAGAGGTCACATGGTACAAGGCTATTCACAACAGCCTTGTACCATGTGACAAGCTGTGACCAATCAAAGCTCTCACAGTATTTCTCAATGACTGCAAGAATACAGCAGAGAAAAGGAGAAATTATTGTTTTTTACAGCCTTTATGCAATCATCACCCCCCACAAGTAGTACAGTGTCACTATGGTGACACTCAGGGGTGGACTGACAACTCATGGGGCCCCCAGGCAATAGGGGATCATGGGGCCCCTGTGTCCTTGCCCAAACTCAAAAAACTCAGTGTTTTTAGAAAAGTGCCACACCCTAAGTCTCAAAAGCAGCAAATTCCCACTTCAAAAAATCACAAATTAATTTTTTGCTCAAACAAGTAAATATAAGGGATGCGCTAAATAAATAAATAGTACAAAATAAATGTGAAAAATATAAAACAATTATAAAAAATGTTCATAAATATTTTTCACATTTATTTTGTACTATTTATTTATTTAGCGTATCCCTTATATTTACTTGTTTGACCAAACTCAAAAAAGCCTATGAAAAAGGTACCAGGGGCATCTCATGCGGCCCCCTACTGACCCCGGGCCCTCGAGCAGTGCCTGAGTTTCCAAATGGTCAGTCCGCCCCTGGTGACATTGTACTGCAAGGGTGACAGTCTGTTAAAAAAAACCCATAAATAATAATATAAGAAAATAAAATAAAAATGTAAAAAAACATTTTTGAAAAATTATATTTTTTGGTTATAAACTAATTTGGGTTTTTTTTTTTACTAAAAAGATAGCTGAATACATTTTGGCCAAGATTTATAAAGAAAGATTATTTATTTGCAAACTTTTATAGGAAAAACACTTTTTTTTTCAAAATGTTTGGACTTTTTCATTTATATAGCAAAAATTAAAAATCCCAGTGGTGAATAAATACCACCAAAATAAAGTTTTATCTGTCTCAAAAAAATGCTAAAAAATTCATATGGGTACAGTGTTACATGACCGCCCAATTGTCAAAGTGTGACAGCGCTGAAAGCTGAAAATTGGGCTGGACTGGAAGCGGGTGAAAGTGTCTGGACTGGAAGTGGTTAAAGTAACGCAGCGCTGTATTGCAAAAAATGTCCTGGTCAGGAAGTGGGGTAAATCCTCTGGAGGGCAACTGGTTAATTAACTTGGTATCATTTTTTTAGGCCCAGTGCATACGTACCTAGAAAACTTCTTACATAAGTCCGAAGATAATATACATTAAGAATAGTTTATTATAATACAACTGTGCAAATCAGTGTTTTCCTTTTCTATAGCTTATTCTTTAGCGGCAATCATTTGTCTAGGTTACGTTCTGACTGGCGTTGCAGTCATCCAGCATAATGTCAGTGTAACAAACACACAAAGGGTCATCTTAATCGTGTTAGCACAATGAAGCAGTTTCTAAACATTACTGCAAATCAAATCATCCCTAAAGAAGACTGCAACAGAGCATGAAAGTGGCTGGGAAGTGAGCAATGGCTAATCATCAAAGGTAGGATTAAAGGGAGCCAGACTTTCACCTGACTACTGTCAGCAAGCTTGTTCTCCGAGATACTTTCTATTTCCTCTACACCTCCCTCCCCCCCCCCCACCAAATCAAGAGCTCTCGCTGAAGTCAGCAATGGGCAATGACAGTGAAAGAGCTCATCTATCTGTGAGGAAAGAAGCCACTTTGATGGCTCCCCAGTGGATATAATTGTTCTCATTACTGCCCATTTACATTTCATCACCCGATTATCACAAATGCCTCATTACAGTTGATAAGGGTTTGCAGTTGAACTATTTGCTAACTATTCATTCAAGGGAGTCGCTATTATGAGACAAAAGGCGGAAGGAGAAAACCGGGAAAGGTGAAAAAAATCTTTCAGATTTGATTAAAGGCTGTGATTTAAATCGATATTTAATAAAGTGGCTTCTGCCACACAGAGGATGCAATTCCCCATGCAGTCAGATTCATGATTGTGTGGCCCTCACTGTCTGCTACATAACTCAATTGGGTTGTGTGCACTGGTCTGGCACCTGTGTCCCTCAGCACATTGCCTCTGAGGTAATACGTTTATAAGCTGATGAACAGAGCTGATAGCTTCTAAATAGATTAACAAGGCTTCAGTCGGCTGTGGAAGGATATATCAGGCAGAGAAAAAAGTGCAGAAGCGCTGAATACGTGTTGACAGGCTCTGAGCATGCCAGAAGAATGTAAAAGTGCACTGTCGCTGTATCTGCTTTCCGCACTAACTGGTGACCATCGGAGGTACGGGGAAATAGATATCACATGCAATATGAGTTTGCATGTGCTATGTACTTTTAAAGGCAACAATATATAAATGATAAAGTTTGCTGCAATATATCTTCGCTTAATTTTTTTAAATTAATACATATTTTCACATCAGTAAGGTACAGGAGAAGAAAACTAAATGAAACGCTTTCCCCCCGCCGTCCTATAGCAGAAATACTGCTACAAGGAGGCAGAGATGCGCAAAATCACGTGATTGTGCACTTCCTGGTAGGGGGCGCATGCAAGCCGCGTGCGTGCCCTACCTGCGCCACCCGGGTGATTCCCCGCCGGCACCAGACGATCACCGTGTGTCACAGACAGAAGGACAGACATGTATGTAAACAATACAGCTCTCTCCCCTGTCAGCTTCTGCACACTGCTTTGTATGGCTGTGCAATATTTTAATATTAATATATGCAATATTGTAATATTTGTAGCATGCATTTAACCACTATCCTACAGGGAACTTACACCCCCTTCCTGCCCAGGACAGTTTTTAGCTTTCAGCGCTGTCGCACTTTGAATGACAATTGCGCGGTCATGCAACACTGTACCCATATGAAACTTTTATAATTTTTTTTAAACAGATAGAGCTTTATTTTGGTGGTATTAATCACCACTGGGTTTCTTATATTTTTGCTAAAAAAAACAAAAACAACTGAAAATTTTGAAAGAAAAAAACACTTTTTTTTAGTGTTTGTTATAAAATTTTGTAAATAAGTGATTTTTCTCCTTCACTGATGTGCACTAATAAGGCTGTAGTTATGGGCATTGATAGACTGCACTGATGGGCACTGATAGAGGGCTGATAGGCACTGATGAGGAGGCACTAGTAGGTGGCACTGATGGGCAGTGACAGGCCTCACTGATGGACACTGAAAGGCAGCACTCATATATGGCACTGATAGGCGGGACTGATAGACGGCACTGACTGGCACTGATAGACGGCACTGACTGGCACTGATAGGCAGCACTGATAGTCAGCACTGACGGGCACTGATGCACACTGATAGACAGCACTTACTGGCACTGATAGGCGTCACTGACTAGCATTGATAGGTGGCACTGAATGGCAGCACTGATAAGTGGCACTGACTGGCATTGATAGGTGGCACTGACTGGCACTGATAGGTGGCACTGAAAGGCAGCTCAGATGGGCACTGATATGTGGCATGGTAGGCACTGATATGTGGCATTGATGATGCACTGATGGGCACTGACAGCTGGCATTGATTGGCACTGACAGATGGCACTGCTGGGGCTACACACTGATGCTCAGTGCCCTGAAGATCAGTGTACATGTCCCCTGTCAGCGTGACAACTCGTGAGGACAGAAATGCCAATAACTGGCATTTGCCTATTTACATGCGATCAGCTGTGATTGGACACAGCTGATCACATGAGCGAGCCAACGTCTTTGGCCTTTCAGTGGATCGGTGATCCGCTGTGTCCAAGGGATACAGCGCACCACTGATCGCCGCGCTCCACGCTCCTGGAGCCGCGCACGCTCAGTTAGATTGGAAGGACATCTTATGACGTCCTCCCAGAACGAGAGAACCGCCTTGCGCCCGTCATTGCCTTATATGGCGGGTGGGAAGCGGCTAAATAGTACTAATGTTTTTGATACACTGCAGCAAACAGAAAAGTTTAAGATCGGCACACAAATATTGGGCTAACCGTGGTGTAGGGAAAAATTTCCCTAGTTTGGTGGTGTCACTGAAGGGAAAAAAAATGTCTCTGCATTGGGGTGTCACTGAAATGAAAAAATGTCCCTGAGTTGATGGCATGATTGGAATGAATAAATGTTTCTGAATTGGTGGTGTCACTGGGAGAAAGACATGTCCCTAAGTCAGTGGTGTAATTGAAAAAAAAAAAAATGTCCCTCAGTTGCATCACTAAGGAGAAAGTGTTGATGCGTCGGTGAAGTCACTGGAAGAAGAAAATGTCCCTGAATCCTTGTTGTCATTAGAAGAAAAAAAAGTCCTACATTGGTGGTGTCACTGAAAGAATAAAAAAAGTCTCTGCATTAGTGATGTCACTGGAAGAATCACAACTACAAAGCTGCACCCCCACCTCCCCAGTACAGAACTCTTCCCCCAACCCTAACTCCCCACTACAAAGCTCATTACTAGGTATGAGGTCAAGCTTGTTCACACACAAGTTTAAATTCACATGAGCTATCCTACCGGGAATTTGTCAAAGCCAATTGCCCCTTGCATATGTGCAGCTGCGTGGTTGGAAATACCTCTGCCATCTATGATTGACTGTCGGCTTTGATAGATTCCTGGCAGGTTAGTTCAGGTGGTTTGTACTTGTGTTCAAACACAGCAAAGCTCATCACTACTCATCAGCCATCCCCCCTCAATACAGAGCTCTCCCCCACAATCCTAGTACTAAGCTCTTCCACCCAACCCTAGCTACTCATCCAGTCCTCAGTGCAGGAGAAGTGGCTGTCAGAAGGCTTGGCTGTCATGATATGTGAGCACATCCTGCTATGCATTATAACAATCCATTATTTTTGGTCCTGAAAATGAGGGGTAATGGGTGCCTAAAATTCCCTGACCAGAAGGTACATAAATCAAGCACACTCTGTCTTCTTCTTCTTTGAGAGGTCAGAAGATCCGGGGAATGTTTCATTCAGCTATAGGTTGTAGGTTGATTCACTGCATCAGAACTTATTGGATGCAGTCATTTTAGAGCACAGTGGTCATATTGTTGCAAGTATGTGTTACAAATCTAAAACCTATTTGGATTTTGAACATCTTTTATACAACATAAAAATATATTTTTTTTTGTGTTTTTTATTTTTTAATAGAAATATTTTTCAAAAATGTGTGTATTTATTATTACTTTTTTTTTTTGCAAATAAGTACAGGTAATATATACCCCTTACTCATTCACATGGGAGGATCTGGTATCTAGGGCCCCCCTTATTTTTAAAAGGGGCATTCAGATTTTAATAAGCCATCTGCCTGCAGACCCCCACAACCACCAGGCCAGAGTTGTATGGAAGAGTCCCTTGTCCTCGTCAATACTGGGACAAGGTGCTTTTTCAGTGGGGTACCCATGGAGAATTAAGGGAGAAAAAAAACTGTACATGAGGAAGCACAAAGGTTGGGTCAATATCTGGTGCATTAGGTCAAATGGATACTTGGCAAGCTATAGGTCCATTTTGGCTAGATAGATCAGGGTAAATAATCATATTGTTGTTTTGAAATTCAACAAATGATCTGTCCGTCTACACCCTCCACCAATGGAAAACAATACTCTAATATGTGACTCTGGAAGCACAAGCAGAAAGACAACAATTTGCTTCTCTCTACTTGTAAAAAGAACTAAATCAAAGGGAAAGAATAACTAAGCCATTCCATTACAAAGAAAAAAAGAAACTCTAAGCCGACTTACATGGTGGAGGAAAGATGTTTTTAGTGGTATGCTGATTATTAAAAGCGACTCAGTGCCAGGGGCGGACTGACCATTTGGAAACTTGGGCACTGCCCGAGGGCCTGGGGTCAGTAGGGGGCCCCATGATATGCCCCTGCTACCTTTTTCTTAGGCTTTTTTGAGTTTGGGCAAGGACACAGGGGCCCCATGATCCCCTATTGCCTGGGGGCCCCATGAGTTGTCAGTCCGCCTCTGCTCAGTGCTTACACTATAAATTGTATTAAAAATAAACTGCAAACATGCAGATCTCCATTCACTAATTTTCTATTCATGTGTATTTATGAAAAAATAAATTTTTACATACAGTATCAGTACATTAAATAATTTAACTTTTTACATTGCAAATCTTTCACATAAATTTTACAATATACATTTCAGTATGAAGTTTCTATTCCTAAATTTATTGTAGTAACTAAGGAATTAATTAGGCTAATAAGAATTTGGTATGTGATAATCATACTAAATAGCAACCAATTTTAAACAGAACCTCTCATATCACCTGTACTGAAATTGTAGACAGATTATTGATTCGTAGCATTCACAATGTCTAAATACAACAGCCCAGGGGCACATAAAAATGCTCAATCATTTTATATTGATGGAAAAAATTATTAACATGTGGCTTCATATCACACATCTGCATCTAGTCGAATTCAAATTGGCAAGCTGAATACTTAAACACCAGCCTCGTAAGTCACAAGAGACCAAGAGTTTATGTAAAAATATTTAACACACACCAAACTGGCTGTTTTTACGATGTTCATTTTCCCTCTTATAGCTAGAAACAATCAATGAATCATATACACCACTTTCGCAAGGGCAGATATGAATGCTTAGTATTCACTGTAAAGCACTGTGGAATATGTCAGTGCTATATAAATGAAATTGTATACATTACCTTTTTTTTTTTTTTTTTTTTTTTTTACAATGTGTAAAAGCAATAACATGAATGCACCTATTTATCTGTATGTATGGATTACAGGAATGTATAGCGTCATTATATATATTTTTACATACAGTATCTCCCAGAAGTGAGTACACCCCTCACATGTTTGTAAATATTTTATTATATCTTTTGTGACAACAGTGAAGAAATGACACTTTGTTACAATGTAAAGTAGTGAGTGTACAGCTTGTATATGTATAGGCATGGAGTTCACCAGAGCTTCACGGGATGCCACTGGAGTCCTCTTCCACTCCTCAATGACGACATCACAGAGCTGGTGGATGTTAGAGACCTTGCACTCCTCCACCTTCCATTTGAAGATGCCTCACAGATGCACAATAGAGTTTAGGTCTGGAGACATGCTTGGCCAGTCCATCACCTTTACCCTCAGCTTCTTTAGTAAGGCAGTGGTCATCTTGGAGGTGTGTTTGGGATCGTTATGTTGGAATACTGTTCTGCGGCCCAGTCTCTCAAAGGAGGGGATCATGCTCTGCTTCAGTATGTCACAGTATATGTTGGCATTCATGGTTCTCTCAATGAACTGTAGCTCCTCAGTGCCGGCAGCACTCATGCAGCCCCAGACCATGACACTCCCACCACCATTCTTGACTGTAGGCAAGAAACACTTGTCTTTGTACTCCTCACCTGGTTGTCACCACACACGCTTGACACCATCTGAACCAAATCAGTTTATTTTGGTCTCATCAGACCACAGGACATGGTTCCAGTAATCCATGTCCTTAGTCTGCTGGTCTTCAGAAAACTGTTTGCGGGCTTTCTTGTGCATCATCTTTAGAAGAGGCTTCCTTCTGGGATGACAGCCATGCAGACCAGCTTGATGCAGTGTGCGGCTGACAGCCTGACCCCCCACCCCTTCAACCTCTGCAGCAATGCTGGCAGCACTCATACGTCTATTTCCCAAAGACAACTTCTGGATATGCCGTTGAGCACATGCACTCAACTTCTTCGGTTGACCATGGCGAGGCCTGTTCTGAGCGGAACCTGTCCTGTTAAATCGCTGTATGGTCTTGGCCACTGTGCTGCAGCTCAGTTTCAGGGTCTTGCCAAACTTCCTATAGCCTAGGCCATCTTTATGTAGAGCAACAATTCTTTTTTTCAGATCCGCAGAGAGTTCTTTGTCATGAGGTGCCATGTTGAACTTCAGGTGACCAGTATGAGAGAGTGAGACTGATAACACCAAATTTAACACACCTGCTCCCCATTCACACCTGAGACCTTGTAACACTAATGAGTCACATGACACCAGAGAGGGAAAATGGCTAATTGGGCCCAATTTGGACATTTTCACTTGGGGGTGTACTCACTTTTGTTGCCAGCAGTTTAGACATTAATGGCTGTGTTTTGAGTTATTTTGAGAGGACAGCAAATTTACACTGTTGTACAAGCTGTACACTCACTACTTTACATTGTAGCAAAGTGTCATTACTTCAGTGTTGTCACATGAAAAGATATAATAAAATATTTACAAAAATGTGAGGGGTGTACTCACTTCTGTGAGATACTGTATGTGTTCTTTTTTAACCTGATCTTGATGTCTTATAGTCAAATAAACGCTATATAGGAATATTTAATTAGTGCCACTTACATCCAGCAGGTGACATGTTCAAAGCTGCTCTCCACCACTCCTACTGCTATTGCAGCTATCCTGTCAATGCCTCTGTTGGGAAAATTTCCCTCCCTTACTGTCCTAGTTAATGAATGGAGACAGCTATTAAAATAATAAACCATTTTAGCAGGAGCTGAATTAGTTTAAAATACCACAATAAAAGGAGGAGATATACCAACTGACTACAACATGAAATGTCTAGACTATCTGTATATCATTTTCTTATAGATGTGTTCATTTATTCTGGCCAGGACTGAAAAATAAAAATCTAAAAATGCATCCAGGTCATAGTATACCTAGCAGTATTTAATTAGAACAAGTCACATTTAACCAGACTTGTTCTATAATGCTGAAGATGCATCCTTGCTCACCAAAACAGCTTACTCAGCAACAATGAATGTCAGGAACAAATCCTAGCATTTATAGTCAAAGGGTAATTCAGTCACCTTAATCCAATCACCTTAGAATGTGTCATGTGAGATGCTGATTGTCCAAGAACAAGATAGGAGGA